TTATATATATATATATATATATATATATATATATACACATATATATGTATGCATATCAACATTTTTCTGTACTTAATTTTTTCTTTTTCTTTTTTTTTTTTTAATAAATATTCTGTAATATAAAAAATTGAATTTATTTTATATACTTCAAAAAAAACTTCATTTGAATAGTTATTAATTATATTTAGTGATATTTCTAGTAAGTTATTTCTAGTATAAAATTCAAATGTGAAATATTCATACTAATAAAATTTGACAAAAATATACATGATAGAATATATAAAAGCATTATAAAATTTGTTTATTTTTATTAAAATATTAAAATCAATTAAATTACTGTACATAATTGGAAAAAATATTAATGATTGCTTATTCTGATATATATAATACAATCATAAAAATAAAGTGAGTATTGGCCAGGATTTCACATCTATATGTAACTTTATAATGAAACGAATATATAAACGAATGAAAGAACGAAGTATACAAAATGTTAATATATTTTATACGAGATATCTTTGGCGGACCAATTCTAAAGATAAAAACAAACGCAAAAATATCGATTAAGACTTATTTATTAAGTTATAAGCAATTGAAATTTACATTAGACGAAGCGAAATGGAAAGAGAACGAGACTGCCCATTCTATTTCCATTATATCATCATATATACATCTATTTCCAACTCTCTTTATTTAATGTAAATTAAATAGTTTATTACTTAATAAAATTCAACCAATATTTTTGTATACTGATTTTTTTATTTGTTTAGAATCAATTCAAAAATATTTCACATATATTAACACTCATTTATACAAAATGCCTTTGAGGGATTGATTCTAGAGGTCACAATAATAAAAGTTAATAAAAAAAATATCAGTTAAGATTTATTTAATTGAAGTTTGCGTCAGATGAAAATGAACATAGAGTGAGATATCTATATGATAGTATAGAACTGTCTCACTTTATCTCCATCTAACGCTAAATTCAATTGCTCTGTTTAATACTTCGTTTAATGCAAACTTCAATTGCTTATAACATAAATAAGTCTTAACCAATATTTTTATTATACCAACTTGTGTTTGTGTAATCTCTAAAATTCAAGGAAATACCACAAATATATTAGTATCCTGTAAATACGTTATTAGTTTTCTTATCTTTATGCTGTTTTAACAACTTATCAACTACGTATTGTATGGATATGAATGTTAGCATGTCTGTCCAAAATGCTATAGAAATATTCACAACTATTATGCGTTCCTTAAATACGGTCGATAAACAAGTATTCTTATCATTTGTTGCTGATAATTGGAAACCTCAAGAAATAAAGATTCAATCTGTTTCAAATGGTATATATAATGTACTAATGCAGTATACACAATGATAAGTCATGATAATAATAAATAATACGAGAATACAAACAAAATTTTTTTCTAGGTAATTGTTATAAAGAATGTAGTTTGCAGGAAAAAAAATTAAATGAAATAAAAAAAATTATTATTGATATAAGAGATAGAATACCATTTGATGGTATACTTTCATCAGAACACATTGTACCACCAATAATTGGAGAGGTCTGCTATTTTAAAAATAGATAAAACTTATATTTTAATTTTTTTATACATTTCAAAAGAGAAATGTCATAAGTTCCATAACTCTGCAGAATTCAGACTGTGATAATAAATCAACAAAACATATTGATGCTTTTCTTTATGATGATGAAGAAGTAGATGAACTTATAGAAAAGGGAGAATTGAATAATTTATATTGTTCCGATTGTGGATCTACTAATATAAAACAATATAGTAAGAAAAAATTAATATTTTTTTTTAATTATATAGTTGTTTGATTAAAACCAAATGATTTTAATTTTAGATATTATATCACATTCCATGTCAGTATCTGATATGTTGTATATATTTCATAATATTTTACCATATTTGAAAGAGAAAATTCTACTTGATATAGGATCTCGATTGGGTGCTGTTTTATATGGAGTAATTATTTCTTTTTTTTTTGTTGAAATAAATGTTTATTAAACAATATGTATATTATAATTGTTTAAATTTTTATCTTTTATAGGCACACATATTTACTTCTGCCAAAAAAAATTATTGGAGTTGAAATGAACAAAGAACTTTGTTCACTACAGTGTGATATAATAAATAAATACAACATGAATGATCGTATTGAAATTGTGAATAAAAGAATTGAGATGTGTCCTGATATAATACAGAAAAGTAATATTATCATTATAAACAATCCATTTGAGTTTTATGTTTCAGAATTAGAACATATAAAAATTTGGAAGTTTTTGAAAACTAACATTCAAAGTGGAACAATTCTAATTACTAAGCCATCTATTGAAATTACTTTCAAACATTTAAAAACTGGAATAATATTAGATAAATGGGTAAAATCTTACAAATCAAAAAAATATAAAAAAGAATCTCAAATATTTATAAAATCCACTGAAAATCCAGATATTAAATTTTATGAAGTATTATAAAAACACCAAAAATTGTAAATGTATAAATATTATGTAAAACAATATATTATTTAAATTTACTTGAAAAACTATTATTTTATTATTTTATTATTTTATAAAACAAAAAGATAAAGTGAACTGATTAAAAAATTCAAAAAATTAGATATATACTATATGATAGATATTAATTAAAAATAATTATTCATATGTTACATATTTATTTCTTATATTTTTTTTATTTTTAATATCCATTATATGCATTATATAATTATATCCTATTATACGAAATTAATGACAAACTCATCAGTTAAGAAATCATTTTGTTAAGAATCTCTCTCTAATGATGGTCATTAGAATCCGGAATTCAATTATTTTTCTGAAATAAAAACAACTTTGAAAAAATATAATGGAACAATAAAGAGATTAAAAGAAAAAAAGAAAAAAAAATATAGTTAAAACGATGGTTCTTGCGTCAATTGTAGGTGAAAAGCTTCCCTTTTAGAGACCGATTTTAATGCAATAAATCCCCCTCTCTTTATACAGGAACTGAAATATAGGTAGTTACCGCGGAGTGGTCAAGTTCAAATCTTGAGTTCAGTCGGCCATCAGCTACGATTGACGTACAGTTATTTCATATATAACTTTTCTCAATTACTACAATTAAAAATTAATATTCGTGCATAACGAGAACAATGAATATTCATAACATCCAATCAATTTATTTAGATTTTAGTTTAAAAGCTAGATTGCTCCGTGGTCTAAATGTGTTCAAAATTAATTATGAAAAATGATTTTACATAAAAATACATAAAAATTTTCTGTTGCATTTTTATATTAATTTTATACTAATTTTTATTAAAATTGTTTACAATTATTTTTATGTTGTTAGTCGGGAATAAAATGCAGAGTATAACATCAAAATGGACAGGTAAGAATTGTATAATAACGTTAAAAATTTAAAATGACATATATTTTTTATTTCAAATTGTATGCATGCTATGTAATAATATGGATTATGCATGAATGAGTGCAGTAATCTTTGATATTCTGTACCTAAAATCATTTTCAATTTGATTTAAATTTATCAAATTGTATCCTATTATCCTATCTATGAGAAATTTATATGAACGAATTATAATAATGTATGTTATTTATTTGGAAAATACGAATTATCATTGATATGAATTATTAGCATTAATAACTTAATTTGGCTAAAAATTGTCGAAAATATATTCTTGATTTCTTTGATGATTTTTTATAAAAATAATAAAATATTGCCCTATATTCTTCATTGAATTTTCTTAATTATTTTTTTCATTTAAAAAAAAAGCAAACAAAAAATCAAAAACATTTCTTTTTATCATCATTTTTTTTTTATAAATATTCTATTATTTCCATTCATTAAATATAAAATATGAATATTTATGATTGAATGATGATTATTATTTTACAATAATAATTTTATATTAACCAAGAAAATATGAAATACATATTGAAATCATTTTTTGTTTTTAACTATTCTTTTTTAGACTTTAAAATTTCACTCACATGTAAATCTTATTTCCTTTAATAATGAAAAAATATTAAAGATTCTATATTTTAATTTTATCTTTTTGTGAACGTTTATCATTATATGTAATTAACAGCTATTCTTGATCTATAGAAAATAATGCGTGGGTGATATAAAAGAAGACAATGATAGAAAAAAATTCACTCTACTCATTATTCTGTACATGGTTACTTCATAGAATGAACACAGAGTCGAACGAAACACAGTAGCAGCACAGATAGGCTCAAGTGGCCAAGGGGCACTTGAACTGACGAGATAATGGACCGATTGTCGAGAAAGAGAAAGAATCAAACGATACCGGGCACTACGCGTGATGGTTGTTGCAATGCAATCGTGATCATTATCGCACTTTCTTGTTTCTTTGCTTCCAATGACGCACTTATGACGTCAATCGAAAGAGCAAGAAGCAACCCTGGCATATCTTCTGTGCATCTTTCTCTTCACATTTCTTCGACCCGGATATACGTTCCTTAACTTGTTCTTTGAGTCTTCCTGCGATATCTATTTAAAAAAAATAGCGATATCTATTTAAAAAAAATAGCTTTTATAATAAATATATATATCATTGTAAAAACATTATTGATAAAATATTGATAAAATATTATAATCAGATTATTAATATTTATTATCAAAGATATTAAATTATTATAATGTTTATTATTATTATAAATTAACGAAAAACTTTATTATCAAAATAAAATCATTTTATAAAGAAAATATAATGTATAATTATGAGATTAGATAAGAGTTTATGATGGTATGACATTAAAAAAATTTATGTTGAAAAATACAGGTATAAAAGTAGTTTGTTTTACTTTTGTGTAGTCACCAATGTATGAAATAAAATGAGGTCATTAAATAAATAATTCAAATAATATTTTTTATATGTTCAAATCAATTAGCATATTAATATATTATAATCAATATATTATAATGACAATTATTATAAAAATGAAAAAATTATAATTAGTCGTATTATTTACATTATATATTTTTTAATTTCGAATCATGTTTTTTTTATTTTAGTCAAACATTCATATTAAACGATGTCATCAGCGTAAATCGATTGTAAACCAACATTGAATGTAATATAATGAAAAGTTTACTAAACGAAAAACTAAATATTCAAAAATTTAATGTATACATTCTATAATGACAAAAATTAGATTCCATATATTCAAAACGACTCGCTTATAAACGAAAGAAGAAACAAAGAAGAGAATGATACTAGTTCAAAAGATCGTAATTTTTTTTAAGTCGAATTGCGGTCTATTATTCAAACCGGGTCAGTTGATCAAGTTACATCTTCCATCTAGCTCTCACGTGGTTCGTGGAATCGAACATGGCGGCCTCTACTATCATCAACGCCGCAGCCGCGATTGGTTCAGAATCAGTGCGGGATGTGTTTCTCATATTTCAAATCGAATATCGCGCAACCGAGTGTTGTTGAGAGGACAATGTATATCCTCTCGACGAAACGGTCGACATAACGTTCAACATTCCTTGGCATTTGGAGCGATACAATTAAAACAGCTGTTAAAAAAACAGTTGTGTGAAAAGCAAAAAGAAGTATCGATTATCATAGAAGACTCATCTCAGAAGCAAATCGTTGACCCATTGTCCTCGAACACGCAAATTACGCGAAAACGACGCGTCGGCATTGTGGAGAATCAGTACGCGGTTGAGAATAACACCGGTTCATCAGTATGCGATTTAGTGCGAGGTTTAGAACGATTATTCGATGAGAAAAACGTCGGAAATAATAAAATTACGATGAAGTCAAAGAAGGAACAAAATGTTGAGGATATCGTTGATCCTGTCGAAGAAAACGAAACGTACGACGAATTTGACACGATTAGGATACCGATAGTGCGGTCCTTAAGTAAGAGCCCGCAGAATGATGAAGGTATTGAAACGGATTCGGATCGAAGAAAAGGATCGATGGCCCGTTGCTGGAGTCTCGATTCAACGGCGGCCAGTGACGAAGATATATCGCTGACCACGCACCAACAGAAACGACACAAACTACGTGTTACTAGATGCTATAGTTCCGATAGTGCTGTGTTGAGCGACGAGGATCAAATAAAAGGTGAGGAGGATTGTATGCCACCAGTTGCTCTTTTTACATTAAAAGAGGAGGGGAGAATTCGTTGAAAATATAATCTTGACCACGCGTGCTATGTCAACATCATTGTCCTTTTTCTTTCTTTTTTTTTTTTTGCCTTATATACTCTTTGTTTCGTTGACCTGTCTAATGACGATAATAATAAAAATTCTTCTATCAAAAATATAGAAATATATATAAATTTTTTTTTTATTATACATAAATGCTTCTAATACCTAATATAAATGAAATTTAAAATTCTAAAAATTTTTAAAGAGAATTTTCTAAAAATTTCATACAAAATATATTTTTATATATTATATTTTTATATTTTTATAAATTGAAGAAAAATTATTTTTTAAAAATTAAATATATTATGAATTGAAATATATGAAAAACTTTTTCTAGGATGGGATGGTTCAAATATGGTAGAAGGAAACGAGTCAGATCATAATGATGGAAGACCTAGATATTGGAGAACACCAAGTGTAGTTGTCAGTGATTATTCTGATTATTCTTATTTGGATGAAAAACTAGAAAGAAATGATCTTGACTTTGAAAAATATGAAGGGATTAGTAGTACTCCTAGCCAAGCAAGTAGTTGCTCTTGCTTAGATTGTGATGAAATTCGTGAATCTTTGGATACACAATTCTTACAAGTCTGTCGTAGTAGAAGACATTCAGACTCCTGTTGTTTGTGCCTTGATTCTATGAATGCTGTTGTTATAAGGTACTTATTTTTATATTTCCTCATCCTTTTTATGTTAGAGTTTAACAGTTTATTAACATAAATATTATTTAGAAACTTCAATGAATCTGAAAATAGAAGAAATTCTTGCCTGGGTTCCACTGAAACTTATTATTCCAAGCACAATACACAACAATTTACACAATATATACCAGAAAGTTCTTCAGATTTACAAGAAAAGACGAAAATTGATCTTTTGGACATTCCACCTATACGAAAAATTTCAGATTGTTCCACTACATCTAGTCTTAGCGGAGACGAGTCAGACGTTGTTGAACTACAACCAGTCAAATCTTCCAAAGTAAGTATTAAATTTAAAAAACATCATTATTCATTGTAAATTTTTTATAAAAAAATGAAAAACACTGAAAAAACAAATGATCATAAAATAATTTCGAGAAACAAATTTATATTCGATTCTTTATTTTACACAATAATTTATTTTCAAAAAAACTTATTTATCAAATGTCGATAGTTAGAACTATTTTAAGAAATAAATAAATTGCAAGAAAGAGAAAACGCGATAAATAAAATTTATACAAATCGAATGTTTTCGTTTCTGAAACGTATTTCCATTCCAGAAATATAAATATTTCAACGTTAAAGCGAAAGAAAAAGTCTATGTTTAATTTGACACATTG